ATTGGTTAAATTTTTTATCTTTCTTATTTTCAAATACAGATATTGTCCAATAGGACTAAATTACTACAATTACTAAATAACACATATAATTTAATTGTTCCATTCTTTACATTGTTTGCAAAATGCAAATAGCGACGTTGTTATTGTTGATGACGTCACAGTCGGTTAAAGTGACCTCGTCCTAACAATAGAATGGATCGATGGATAATGTTTAACTCGTAATATGGGAAAACCAAGTGTTTCTTCATTTTGTCAGAAATAATTACTGGGGAATATGGAATATTCAACCGCAAATGTAAATCACTAATCTCGTAAAATAATATAAAGTTTTACCAAAAAACATTACTTGGGGCAGATAATTCGAAAACGCTTGTAATCTCTGAGGCATCCTCGAAACACAGTATATTCACCCGTTCCTTATCTCCGTATCTCCGACAGCTTTCAAAGCAGCACAGGCATAAACGTTAATCTGATTCTGAATCCCAGCGGGCCCTGGCATACAAATTACCATAGGCGATTACACAAATGCGTATATTACAGTGATTTACAAGGACGGGTATTGTCCGGTAATCCTTGAGGAACAAAATGCGGTCTGAGGAAGGTCATGGGAACAAAGTGTGCGTCAATCTGAAACCAACTGATTTGTCAAGTCGTTCCAACACAAATCTCATTACAACCAGATCTTTTACTCCGATGCGATACATGTCTGCCATTCGTACTTCGTGACCAACTTCGTGACAGACAGAACAGAGACTCCTGCCCTTCTCGAAGTATTCCTTGTCAGAGTATAAACAATAACATTTTGAAATTAGATGGCAAAAAGCTGACATAAAAAGACGATTTTTAATTCAATAATGCATAGGCAGTTAGAAATTTTGATTTTGTCTTTTCTTTGCTTGAATAGTTATTTAAAACATTTTTTTCACGGACAGCCTCAACAATTAGTATACGAGGGCCTCGTACACAGGTTATATTTGTTACAATTACAATAACATTATTAACGAATACCTTATCAAGGTATGACGATACCTCCATAGGAGATGGTATAAGGTGATTCCTCACGTGAAGATTCCGGGTCTTCAGCAACCCATGCTTGCCGTAAAAGGCGACTATGCTTGTCGTAAAAGGCGACTAACGGGATCGGGAGGCCAGGCTCGCTGACTTGTTTGATGCATGTCATCGATCCCAATTGCGTGGATCGATGCTCATGATATTAATCACTGGACTGTCTGGTCCAGACTCGATTATTTACAGACCGCCGTCATATAGCTGGAATATTGCTGAGTGCTGCGTAAAACAACAAACCAACCAACCAAACCAACCTCAGCGAGCTTTGACCGTCCAACTACAAAGGGTTGCGTTGGTTCTTACACCAATCAGATGTCAGCTTTCTAAAACTATTCGTTTTCGTTTCTTTATTACCGCGATTCGAAAAAAATCGATTTTAACAAAAGAAAACCATAAACATAAGTCAAATATTCCTTACATGGAACTCCAGTTTGAGTGTAGATACCATGACGCTCAGAAACGACCTGATGTATGAAATATCCACAGCGATGTGTTGTCGCGTTCTTAATTATTTACATTCGGAACTGTCGTGTTCATTTCGTTTACGAGACACACAAGTCAGATACGCTGGTTTGAATGCCCCGTTCACTCGTACCGAGAATTATCAGCCATGATGCTGACAGCCGTTCACCTGACGCGTCCTCCCGTGGCGGCGTCGTGCGATCTTACCCCCGAGAGGTATCGTATCGCAGTAGCAGATCAGATAATAATGAATTTGTTCTAACACAACGGTTTTGTCTGCCAACCTCATTAATATAAGATCTTACTCCTCGCTTCCGCTAAGCAAAGACCTTAGGCCATCCCATTACGTTTCACGTCACCTTCTATCCGCTCAATCAGAACGTCCCTTATAGGATCAGAAAGAAAGTGACAATCGGAATGTGTTTTCTGATCATGGAGCCTCGAAAAGGTTAGCACGAGATATTCTGAACGACAGCTGGAGACCGACCATTTGATATTTGATATGTTCGGTCCCTTACGGGCTGTACGTCAACATCATCGTCAACATCATCGTCAACATCATCGTCAACCTCGTAGTTCCATGGGATAAACATATAATAAATAAACGGAAGAAACTTTGCATAGCCCGTTGGAAGAACTGCCATACAATCTGGGCAAGCTATTAGACATTCCAGAATGTTCTTTTGTTCAGTTTTCAAATTTTGAATCAAGAAGTCAAAATAGTTTTCGAGGCGTAGTCTGAAATAGAAGTCGCCAGTTTGAAACTTGTGCCATATACACTGTACGTGTACGCGAGAAAGCTGTTATCTGATTGGCTTATGTCAACTTATTGTCGGTAGCGAGAACTAAGATCTGATTTTAATGAGATTGTCAACTTGATGCCTGTCATATTCAATTATTTATAATCCCCGCTTATGAGATTTAACCCGCTAGGCGAACAGTGGACAAGGTCACAGGAGGTTTATAAATGTACTACAATGACATCCGAATGTCGCATAGAACGGTCGGGGATAAAGCGGTCGCATCGATAAAAGACAGGATGTTTCCATTACTTTTAGTATTGAAGTTACATCGCATTAGCAAACATATCACCCTTTGTGACCTTTCCCTTTGGCTTTGTCAGACTATCACCGGATGTAATTTGTTTTGTAACGTTGTATGTAAACACATAAGTACGTAATTTTCCCAATTAGATGAGTGAGCGTTGAAGACTGGGACAAGAATGGCATCACGGTGCGTTTAGTGAGCCTGGCTGACACTTAGTTATGTGATTAGACCTCTTTGTACAATGATGATCACTTGTGGTTTTCGTTCTTGACAAGACTTGCTAACAATGACGGATAATACCAAGCATGTTTTCACTCCTTCAAACATGCATTGTTATTTAGAACTGTTTGAATTCCTTTAAATTATGGTACTGTTAAAACTACGCGTTGTCCGTCGAAAGTCCAACTTTAAGATATTTTGTATTTCGTACAACTGAAATTTGGAGTTGTAAACCGGCAACATTGCTTGTGCAAATACCGCTACAGGAGCACAACTTGCAACAGCTGGTAAAGTACACAAGTTAATGCTAAACAAAAAAAATGTAAAAAAATGTAAAAAAATGTACAATGCCTGGAATTAAATCCGTAAACGTGAGTTGTAATTTGTGGTGCCTTGGAAAGAACTTGCTGTTTCTTTTATACAAAACATTTTTTCCTAATTTTCCTGTCAAATCTTTTGCTCTTGCCAATAAAGTTGTGGACTGGTTTAAGAATGCCCATGCTGGTCGAATCACCGAATAAAGCGTCTCATTCTAACCATGGGTGTTAAAATACACATTATGTCTGATAATTGCCTGGTGTTTCCATATCAATAGAAAATGCAGAGCATCTTCAAACGACATCCATAATAATATGAGCCCGATCTGTGTAATGCATATCGATTTCATTTATAAGCGTTGTGCTCGCTGCAACCAAGCCGGAGGTGACAATGAATAATTTGACAAAATCTACTTCCGAAGTTCAAATCTAGATAATTGCTTGTTGTGTGAGAGAAAATTGATTTAAATTGATTTTAAATTCTCTCGGAGAAATAGCGTCAATGAATCCCGTAACATTTAATCTGATGAGAAATTATATGATGTACACTTTTGATTAAAGTAACGATTTCCTTGTAGCCCTTTAACTCAAACTAAGTTTTCACTAATTGGCAGATAGACAAATGTAGTATGACAATTCAGGTGTCATTTAGACACATGTGCAAATTCGCTTCGTGGCGAACGTGGCGCCTACCTGTCAAAATCTATACTTAGTGAATAATTGTGTTCATGATGTTCATTTACTTTGGGTCGTTATTCTTTTAAGGTTCGTCCTCCAAGGAACTCACACATGAGACCCGTGAAGATCCGGGGTAGAATAGGTCTTCACCAACCCATGCTTGCCGTAAAAGGCGATTATGCTTGTCGCGAGAGCTGACTAACGGGATCGGATGGTCAGGCTTGATGCATATCATCGTATCCGAATTGCATGGATCGAGGCAAATGATATCAATCACTGGATTTTCTGGTCCAGATTCGATTATTTACAGACCGTCTTCATAAAGCTGGAATATTGCTGAGTGCGGCTTTGAAAAACAAACAAACAAACACACACCATGAAAGTAGTTTGAAAATTCAGATTGTGTTTAAGTGGTTAGTGACACGCGTAACAAGTCATTACTTCAATAAATGAATTTCGTACTGTTGATATTTTGTTAATTTCTGAAATCGAATCTCGACATTTAGGATTTATGTTCCGCTTTTTTGTTAACAATAACTACTTAATGACTATACACATTCCTGCACATGATACATTCTTCGGCCACTGCTCCAAAACATGCAGGAAGAAGTCGGAAATTAAATTTTAAACCCAAAACAATTTTTTCAGGACATCCAACTTGTCCTACGAAGTATTTAGCTTTTTTTACAGGAGTTTTTTTTGTGTGTAAAATACCCCGTCCACCACATCTTTAACTCCAAATTTCAATGGTCATGAAGACCTCTTCAAGATATGTCTTCTGATGAGTTTACAGATCTAAGATAATTGTCAGCCTACAATGTACTTTAAGCAACAATATATTTCTTTAAAATCTGTTTCTATATAAAATTAAGCGTAAAAGACAAGATGCCACTTCCTGCATATCAACAAGCATCACATGGCGTCAGTATAACAACAACCCATTCTACCTACAACTTTGGCGTTCCAGGTATAAAAATTTTATCAATTCTAAAAAATACCAATAGATATGTTCCATCCTGCTCACACACAAGGGGCAGGTCAGCCGAAGTTGCTGAGGCAGAAGTCGACTTTTTAAACACTTAAGCAAAGGAGAACACTTTGTGAATCACTTGCTTGATAAAGGTACCGAAACGTCGCATTGAATCACTTAAGAAGTTTTCAGTTATGTCGTCAGTGTACGTGTTACGCGTGTTTCAAGGCATCACTCACCTGGATGGGGACAGTAAGCATGGAGGTCTGCTGTTGTGGTGGTAAGTCCGTTCGGCCTGCTTGCTGCGCTATCAGCATCTCTCAAGCAGATACATCCCACCGCTGGCCTCCCACACTGTCACTGCACGTATACCTCGGGCGTCTCCTTACACAGGCTCCGGAGGCCGTCTTTGCACACGCCCTTGGTCCATAATTACTGAGACGCGCGTTGTCAGCCAAGACGGAAATTGGGTTTGGTGTTAAGAGTGAGATGTACTGTATTGTATAACCGTGTTTGGTGGAACTTATTAGTTAGGAGACAAGAAGTCAGGTTATCCACTTAAGAAATGTAGGTGAACGGGTTCGGTTGCAGAGAATATTCTTCTCGACACTCAAAGAAACCCTCAGCATGAATTAACGTGATGTCATTAATGAAATGCCGATGGTTTAGATACAGGGAGTAAAAGGCGACTATGCTTGTCGTTAGGGCTCGGGTGGTTAGGCTCGCTGACCTATACTTCTCATGCCATTGTATCCCAATTGAGTAAATTGATGACCATGATGTCAATCACTTGATTATTTCGTACATACTCACACTGAGGTAGGATAAATACTTGAGTATAAATTGGGTTACGTGTTTTTCTTCATACCAGAAGACGCTAAAATGGTGCTTGTTGATTTAAGATTTAATGCAAAGTTATGTTTTTTACCAAATCTGAAACAATTTCGGAAACAGATAAACGACTCTTGTAAGTAAATTTGCCGTACTGACTTCAGAAAATGCGTGATTTCATAAAAACAAAAATGAACATGCAAAAATGTCAATTTACAAATCAATAGCGTGTGTGTCCACCTCTGGTTGCGATGCAAGCAACATATCTTCGTCTCATGGAATGGACAAGGTAGTTTCCTGTCAAAATGGGTCGTCTGGCGGGTCTTCTGGCGACAATCCCTGTACATCTGAGGCGACGACCTACTGTTTGTGAAGATATTCATCGAAGGCCATGGATGCTTCTTGCAGTCACTGTTGCTGGCTGGAATCGATTTCGTAGGTGTGTTGTTCGAATCCAGTCTTGTCGATTATTGGTTACGCGTGGCCTGCCACTCCGAGGATGGTCTCTGACTACTTTCGTCTGTTGCCAACGTTGCCATAAACACTAAATGGTGTTTCTGTGGACGTTAAATTGTCTTGCAACATCACGTTGACTCGATCATGCTTCAAGCATACCAATAGGGCTGAAACGATATCCGGGACACCGATGCATCGCGATTCACTCCATACGATACGGTGTGCGATTTGTGAGGTGCTGTATCTCGATTTTTTCACGATACGTTTTTTCAAAGACGTATATACGTACGTCTTTTCTTTTTTTTGTAAATAAACTTTTATCACAGATACGTTTTAAATGTGTTTTAACTCTTTCAACACCGTAGGCCGGTAAACCGGCCAAGAAGCATCGAGTCCCCAGGGTCCGTAGGGAACCTACCTGTCATACCATTCATTTATTAAATCTATCAATTGATTATTTTTTATCGATATATTAAAAAGTTATTCACTATTTCCCGCAATGTCATTGAAAATATAATTCTGGGAAACATACTTCGACAACGGGTGCACATCGAACATGTCAAAGAGCAAAACAAAGACGTTTCAAGCAAATCTTTAAATACATTATACAAAGTGATAAATAAAATCAACAAAAATATATCTAAAGGTTGTCAAACTTACAGCTAAGTTATTATTCCCATCTTTTCGTGCGATCGCGTGTAATGTTAGTCAAATGACATCTCGGCTTTCGTCGCATCGAATTCTCGGCTCGGACACGATGTTCAATGCCAAAATATATGCATGAAAATTCTTTGTCACAGCTTGTAACCTAACATGATATATACATCCACGAAGCTCCATATTTTTAATATAGATCGCTATTTCCTGCTTAAAACGTTCAAAATAACACGATTTAACCAAAATATTTCGTAAAAATCTGAAATTCATCGCACACGAGAAATTTGTAATTTGATTGCCTGCCTCAGGTCACGTGCTCAAATTTGACCAATCATGAACCTTGTAGCAGATTTTGGCAAGAAAGCGTCATTAGAAACCATTTGTTATCCAATGAAATCTTATGTTATAGCTACGAAAAGACTCCAGACAATGTTACGTGCGTGTAGATGAAAAAACAAACTTTCTAGCGATGTGTCATATGTCAGTCTTCGACGAACGTGTTATTCATACGAAGCTTTCGAAAACGGAGGTATTTCTTCATGTAACTGAGCGGACAGCTGCTGTTATCTGGAAATGAGTGAAACCAGGTACTATTCATAATTCTTTTTACAATAATTTTCCAATTACGTAAACAATGAAAATAAAAAATAAATGATAAGTAGATCTTTCAAAATCTCATATTTGCCCAAAATCGTCAAATTTTCGCTTCCTTGGTCCTTAATTTGGACGTTATGAATGTGTTAGCTCACATTTTTTAATTTACAACTAACTTAATTACGTTGTCAATGCATTATTTAAATAATGTGATAAACATAACTTTCATGTTTATAAACACCAGGATTAGACCTTTCAAATGGTGTATAACATAGCTGTTGCTATATAGATAATTGTTTTTAATTGTTTTTTTTTGCCTTTATACATGAAAATGGCAAATCATTAGTTACTGGACACTGGTACATTTAGTATTTACTCCTACCATCTAGTCAGAACTCACAAATATGTAGGACTGTTACTTTTGTGTTTGCTAGCCATTACATGGAAATAGCAGATGATTCATTAAGTTAAAATACTCATTACAGTATATATTTTATGACTCATGAACATTCATTCACTTTCATTAATTTTTCATTTTAATAAATAAGGTTTTATTCATTTATCTCTTGTCTTCTCTTGTCACTATGTGTATCGTAGCGTATCGAGATACGTATCGAATAGTGATGTAAATATCGAGATTCGTATCGTATCGTGACCTAGGTGTATCGTTGCAGCCCTACATACCAATGGCTCGCAGACGCTCATTTTCGGACAGGCGTGGCATTTCGTAATGTTGAATAATTGCGTAATTTTGTAGTTTTTCTGACTGGTTGTCAGCACGATGCTAAACAATGCATATGGAATCCCGTTAACGCACATGTTTTTATACCCATTCCTGGGTAGTGAAATGCGTGGGGCTTGCATAAAAGCCAACTTTTGCATGGAATGCATGATTTTCTGTAGCAGTTGCGTTTTTGTGACTTGATTCCATACATGGACTCCAATATTGAAAACCAAACTTTACTTGTTTGGAAAATACACAAAAATATTGGTGTCACAGGAACTTTTGTTGTTGAGTATATTTCGACGTCTGTGTATAATTTGCAAAATGTTGATTATTAATCAGGCAGCTGTTATTTGATTCTCTGAAATTGAAATGGCTCTAAATCGTGTTACTGAATGGTACCCAGAGGAAATAACAGAATGAATACGAGTCCCCAGGAATCCATGCCTGTAACAGGCGGCTTATTCTTTGATAATACCAGCATTTGAATAGAGCTTGGTATGAGGGGACAGTAATGTATTTCAGCGTACATTGGTTTGTGGTTCCCCGACCAGCAATATCTGTGACCACCATCTCCCCGCGGTCTCTAGATCATCAGTCTCTGTTATCAAATCTGGGAATGCCAATCCCAACCTCTGAATCGCCGACCGTCTCTAAGTAGCTCTTGTCGATCACTCAGTCAATCCAAAAGCCGGGTAGGATCATTTCAGTCAGGTATATCTTATATACGGAGAAGACATATATCCTTCTTGAACAATTTTTTATTTTTTTTATTTAATTATTTATTTATTTATCTTTATTTATTTTATATATTTTATTATTTATTTATTTTTATTTTTTATTTTTTTTATTTTTTTTTTATGATTATTATATTTTTTTTTTATTTTTTTTTTGGGGGGGGGGGTTACGGTCAGCCTTTTTCCATCACTGTATGTGATGACTATTACTGAATGCAGCCATAAACAACAAATATACAAAGTAATCCAACAAACAAACTTTGACACAAACGAATATTAATATCTGCTGTGGGCGAAATACATCACCAACAGAATAATTAAAAATTTAAAAAAACATTTAGCTGCAAGTATTTCAGATGTTCGTCTGTCTGTCCGACAAGCAGGGATTGTTAAATAAACAGAACTTACGTCAGCCAAGTGATGAATTTGTGCCTTTGCTATAATTGAAACATTTAATTTGTGCTATTTTCATTGAAGTTTGAACTCAACCTTTGAGAGATTTGTTTCTTTATCGAAGCTTGTAATCATTCAATACTGTTCTGACAAAGCGTTTCACAAAGCTTTTCGCAAAGCCTTTCACGAGATCAATAGGTGATTTTTACTAGTGTCGTTACAATGACAAGTGGGATTGAAAGAGGCTTACATACCGACAATGTATTACAAAGTGTTCAAAATGTCTTAATAAGTCGTCACACAAGTCGTGGAAATATTTGTCAGCTTCATTTTTAGACTTTTTGAGGAATTGAAAAACGTATGATCATGCCCTTGATTGTTCACTGTGAAGGTATGGATCTATTGCAACTATTTAAAAAAGATGAAAAGAAAAACAAGGCATGTTTGAAAACGTTTTTCACCGCGTGTGTACCTTTTGCGCTCGGTGGAGTCTGCAGGTAGTTAAGTCTGGTCATCCCCTGGCGTTAACGTTTTGTGTTTACCACTATCAAAAAACAATTCGAAAATTTTTTTTGACAACATTTATGGAATTGTACCGTTTTGGTAGGTAATAGTGTTAGAGAGATTTATTTGTGTGTCTGTTTGTTGTTTAACGCCGCACTCAGCAATATTCCAGCTATATGACGGCGGTCTGTAAATAATCGAGTATGGACCAGACCATCCAGTGATTGACATCATGAGCATCGATCTACGCAATTGAGATACGATGGAGAAGAGATTTAGTGAGCGTGGAGGTGTTTGTTTCTGTCTCGTGGTCTTCTCTTTGCAGAGTTAAGGCCCCTGGCCTCACCAGAAACCGATGATCGGGAATTTGAACCACAGATTGACCCTGATGCTCCCTCACTCACTCATTCACCAACTCACTCACTCACGCCCTTACTTTTTGC